CATTCTATGCATGTAGGTTAAAAACCTTCAGTGTGCAGCCCCCCCCCCCCCCCCCCCCGACTTATACTCACCTGGGCCAGATCCTGAACCATTGGCCTACTGTACTGTTCACTGTTGTGCTGGAAAGAAAGCTGTACCTGAGTGTTTTGCTTCCATACATTCTATGCATGTAGATTAAAAACCTTCGGAGTGTGGATCCCCCCCTTATACTCACCTGGCCCAGAGCCTGAACTATTGATGTGCATTAGAGCAGAAACCCTTCTGGGTCTCTGCCTCCTAATTTGGGGGGGAGGAGGGGTAAGCTGCACCCTGTGCATCTCATACACACACAGAGGAGGCTCGAGAGTGAGAACACACGGGTGCCCCCGAGAAAGCAGCTTGCTCTGGGGGTACTCAGCCAAGGGGAGAGGCCTTGAGCACCAGCAGGGGGACCCAAAGAAAAGGAGGAAATGTTTGTTATTTTTTTTAAAAAAAGGTATCTTTACAATCACTTTAAAGAAGAATTCTGGGGATGTATAATGATGTAACTATGTTTATGCCATACTTGGACGATCCCCATGGAAGATGGAAATCACTGCTGCTCCACTGAACTCCTCTTGTGCCAAGAGGCTGCCTTGCTGCATTGTGGACACAAGAGGTTGGCCGCTCAGCTAGGGCACCATCCAGAGATTGATTTGAATTTTTTTTCAATGAAGCAAAGCATTCTCTGATTAGACGGGGTGGAGAGACAGAGAGGTGATGTCCCACTGTCCACCTCATTCAACCAAAGAATGCCAAGCATCCTCTGAATGGTACCCCTGCCAAGCGTCTGGACTCTTGTGTTCACAATGCAGCAGGGCAGCCGCTCAGCCCAGGATGCAAAAGATAATAGGATTACTTTAGTAACGGCATAGCACAGTGATTTCCAGCTTCTAGATGGATCCCACAGGTATGGAATATACTGTACATAGTTACATTGGTCCAAGCTGGAATACTGTAACCATACAAAAATAACTTTATTTGGAATTCTTCTTTAAGCCTAAGCAAGGAGATCCTTGCACTGCAAGGCTTCAGGTACAGCTTCTTCTCCAGCATGGAGAACAGCAAGCAGTACAGTAGACCCCTGTAACTATGTAAAAATATCCATACCTAGAATTCTTCTTTAACCCGAAGCAAGGACATCCTTGAACTGCAGGTCCTCAGGTACAGCTTCCCCTCAAGCAAGGAGAACAGTGAGCACTACAGTAGTTATACCTCCAAACGTTCATAAAGAGAGACAGTCTGGAGAAAGTAAAAAGTGGGCCTGGAGATAGCAAAAATGGTGTGGAAAGTGGGCATGGCCACCTAGCACTGATTATTGGGTATGGTTATGAGGGACATGGATAAATATAGTCTATGCACAGTATACACTACACATGTCCTTATTCCCACAATGAATTTGGACCATCAACTACATATAGTATACAATGATGTGGAGACATTCCATCCTGTTCCGGAACAAAACTGAGTCGATCTGAGCACTGCAAGAAAGACTTGTATATTGATGAATGAATACAAGGCTTCCACTGATTTGCTCAGGTGGAGATTGAGATGTAATCCACCCACCTCTCCCTTCAGCCAGCTAGGGAAAGCCTAACAGGTGGCGTTGTTATGGCTGTCATCATAGGTGTCATTGGGGAAGCAGATGTCTGATTGGATGTGGCTGTGTTGGGTGACTTCTGTGGCCATCTTTAGTGTGGACAGTGCCAATAAATAACACTGTCCTACTGTAGTTGATGTGCAAAGTGGTTATGTCAGGGACTGGAACCTGCTGGTGAGGGACAATGTGACTAGCATAGGGAGAGGTTCCAATAAGGGACAAAGTAAGGACTGCACTTCTGAGATGCCAACTAGGAGCTCCTTCTGCCTTTGCATCCATACCGCCTTCAGCCACCTCCTTCATCGGATTCTGGCGGGCACCATAAGCCTTCTAGAATGTCTTCTATAATACTGAGTCTGGTTTCTGCAAGACCTTCCATAAAGTACTGCTGTGCCACAATTGACTGTGTTATACAGGCCTGTTGTCACCTTGTTGGAACTTTGTGTTAATACATTTTTTGCCTCTGTGTGCATTTCCTCCACTTTGGGTACCGAATATGGGGCGCATCGTACACGCACTTGTGCGGCTCAATGTACATTCTAAAGAAGCATGCGAGCGGAAGGTAGGTTTATATTATCGCAGAAGAGACATTGCAAGAGTCTGTCGGCTCCCAGTTTTTGAAAGCGGGACTTTAAGCCCAGCTCTGGGATGCTTTAAAATGATCCATTACAGTGGCCCTGCAAGGGTTAACTGCTCAGTTAGGTCTAGGGGACACAGAAAAGAAGATTTACTCATCTGATCCTCTGCTTCTCTATGCTACAAAGTCTTCTCCAATATGCTCCAGTGATCCAAGGTCCTGACATCATCAGCCCTGCATTGGACATGAGCACATTGAGGGACAGTCCACCACCAAAGCATTTGGACCACCATCTGCCTGGGGAGTGGAGGATCAGGTAAATAAAAGCACTTCTCCTATCCCCTAGACAAAATGAGCAAGTAGGCAGGTACAGTTAGTCACTTTGCCATTAGGTTGCTCTGTACCAGAATAGCGTATGGTACAGCAGATATTGACACCAGGTGTTAGGCCCCTTTTAAGTAGGCGGACTGACAACTCATAGGGCATCCTTCCTATTAGTGAAGAGGTAAAGTCATCCCTCTGATTTGGAGAGCAGTGGAGTCATCCTTCATATCTGGAGAGCAGTGGCGTCATCCTTCATATCTGGAGAGCAGTGGCGTCATCCTTCATATTTGGAGAGCAGTGGCGTCATCCTTCATATTTGGAGAGCAGTGGCGTCACCCTTCATAGCTGGAGAGCAGTGGCGTCATCCTTCATATTTGGAGAGCAGTTGGCGTCATCCTTCATATCTGGAGAGCAGTGGCGTCATCCTTCATATTTGGAGAGCAGCGGTGTCATCCTTCATATTTGGAGAGCAGTGGTGTCATCCTTCATATTTGGAGAGTAGTGGTGTCATCCTTCATATCTGGAGAGCAGTGGCGTCATCCTTCATATCTCGAGAGCAGTGGCATCATCCTTCATATTTGGAGAGCAATGGTGTCATCCTTCATATCTGGGGAGCAGTGGTGTCATCCTTCATATTTGGAGAGCAGTGGTGTCATCCTTCATATCTGAAGAGCAGTGGCGTCATCCTTCATATCTGGAGAGCAGTGGTGTCATCCTTCATATATGGAGAGCAGTGGTGTCATCCTTCATATTTGGACAGCAGTGGCATCATCCTTCATATCTGGAGAGCAGTGGCGTCATCCTTCATATTTGGAGAGCAGTGATGTCATCCTTCATATCTGGGGATTAGCAATGTCATCCCTCATACTACTAGAGAAGTAATGCCTCAAACTAGTGGAGAAGCTGTATATGATGCCCAGGCAGACTGACAACTCATAGGGCCCCCGGGCAATAGGGGATCATGGGGCCCCTGTGTCCTTGCCCAAACTCAAAAAAGCCTATGAAAAAGGTACCAAGGGCATCTCATGGGGCCCCCTACTGACCCCGGGCCCTCGGGCAGTGCCCGAGTTTCCAAATGGTCAGTCCGCCCCTAGAGACAATACAGCAACAATAAAGTTCAATACAAGAGGGATAGGAGGTCCTGATCCTGGGAGCTTACAATCTAAGATATTACATTACCAGGGGCGGACTGACAACTCATGGGGCCCCCGGGCAATAGGGGATCATGGGGCCCCTGTGTCTTTGCCCAAACTCAAAAAAGCCTATGAAAAAGGTACCAGGGGCATCTCATGGGGCCCCCTACTGACCCCGTGGTCTCGGGCAGTGCCCGAGTTTCCAAATGGTCAGTCCGCCCCTGGTAGAACCCTCCCACAATGATGTCAGGGGTGAGTCAACACCCTTATATAAGCTAGATGGGGAGGAGCACGCAGACTTGGGGCATGGGAGCCAAACACCCCACACCTGTGAGCGGGTAACCAACACACACAGGCCCAGAATAGGGCAGGAGGCAGGGTGGAGTGGACCTGTATACAGGAGGAGCCTGCTGTAGTGATTCTGTCTCTTATGGAGGTGGGGACTAGGGCAGACTACAAAAGGCCTTGTAGGCCAGGTTGGAGATCCCTGTATGAGGATGCTTCCCTGGAGGGCTCCCATTAAAGGCGTAGCAAACTAGGAGGTGTATATAGAGATTCCAATCCTGTGAGTAATATGACCCTGGGCAGAGTAGAGACTAGAGAGAGATGGCTGTGAGGTAGTGCATGTGCTTTCACCTGAGATTACTGCGGATCGTCCACTGAATGTGATAGACTGTGTATGTCAAGTGACTCCGGAAAAAATGTCCTAGTGATGTGACTGTCTTGCCTTTCCCTGAACAATTATAAATATTGAATCCTCCTTAGTGTCAGTGAATCTTTCCAAATATTTCTTCAGTGTGATAATCCCAAAGTATGATCCATTTTCACTATATACTTCCAAAAAAATTAAATAAAAACTGGATAGTGTATTATCCTCAATTAATCAGTGATCAAAACCATGTTGATCGCTGTGTTTTTATATTGTGTTTTAACAATTTTTCACATCTTAGTTATCTATGTATATATGGTTTTGATCACTAATTAATTGAGGATAACACACGATCCAGTTTTTATTTCATTTTTTTGGAGGTATACGGTGAAAATGGATCATACTTTGGGATTATCACACTGAAGAAATATTTGGAAAGATTCACTGACACTAAAGAGGATTCAATACAATCCCTGTCCAAATCATGTAGACTTCACCTCTGCAACATCTCCAAGATACGCCGTTCCTAACCTCGGAAACCACTAAGCAACTTATTCACTCCCTTGTTATATCTCGCCTTGACTATTATAACTCCCTCCTCATTGGTCGACCTCATCGCAGGCTATCCCCTCTTCAGTCTATCATGAATGCTGCTGCCAGACTCATTCACCTTACTAACCATTCTGTATCTGCCACCCCTCTCTGCCAATCCCTCCACTGTCCTCCACTCAGTGTCCTCCACCCCTCTCTGCCAATCCCTCCACTGGCTTCCACTCAGTGTCCCATACCCCTCTCTGCCAATCCCTCCACTGGCCTCCACTCAGTGTCCTCCACCCCTCTCTGCCAATCCCTCCACTGGCCTCCACTCAGTGTCCTCCACCCCTCTCTGCCAATCCCTCCACTGGCTTCCACTCAGTGTCCTCCACCCCTCTCTGCCAATCCCTCCACTGGCCTCCACTCAGTGTCCTCCACCCCTCTCTGCCAATCCCTCCACTGGCCTCCACTCAGTGTTCTCCACCCCTCTCTGCCAATCCCTCCACTGTCCTCCACTCAGTGTCCTCAACCCCTCTCTGCCAATCCCTCCACTGGCCTCCACTCAGTGTCTTCCACCCCTCTCTGCCAATCCCTCCACTGTCCTCCATTCAGTGTCCTCCACCCCTCTCTGCCAATCCCTCCACTGGCTTCCACTCAGTGTCCTCCATCCCTCTCTGCCAATCCCTCCACTGGCCTCCACTCAGTGTCCTCCACCCCTTTCTGCCAATCCCTCCACTGGCTTCCCGTTGCCCAACGGATAAAATTCAAAACATTAACAATAACATATAAAGCCATTTATAACTGCCCCAAATTACATCACCAATCTTGTCTCCAAATATCACCCAAACCGTACTCTCCGCTTCTCCCACGACCTCCTGCTCTCTAGCTCCCTTGTCTTCTCCTCCCATGCTCATCTCCAGGACTTCTCCAGAGCTTTCCCCATCCTCTGGAACTCTTTACCCCAATCAGACTATCACCTACTCTGCTCACTTTTAGGCAATCTCTGAAAATATCTTCAAGGAAGCCTATCCTGCCCTCAGCTAATACTGGAATCTTCTACTCTTTCAACCAGTTAGTCCATCCCCCACAGTTACTACCTTTTCTATCACTAGCCCCTCCCTCCTAGATTGTAAGCTCCAAGGATCTGGGCCCTAAAATCCCTCTTGTATTGAACTGTATTGTTGCTGTATTGTCTCCCGTTATATTGTAAAGCGCTGAGCAAACTGTATAATAATAATATTTAGAATTTTGGACTTTTAAGGGTGAAAGTGTGACTTTTAAGTGTCAATATATAGGGTATTAATTAATTCACATTTTTGGACACCAATTTTGTATTTATTGTACATTCCCTGAACAACACTAGTAAAGTGAAGTGAAGCTAACTATTGTGTGGACATTCCTTCTTTGGAATATAAAGGTCTATGGAATGTCATGAGGAGGCCTACGGCAAGAAACAGGGCACAAGATGGCGGAGGGGTTGGCCTCAGCAGCTGGGATTGTGTTCTAGCAGGGCTGGAGTTGGGGTAGGATCTCGTGGTTGGCTGCCAAAATTAGCCAACCACAAAACCCCAACTTACCAAGCAGTTAACCCTTGCAGTCCAGGCCCACCCCCACCGAAACGGATCCTTTTACCGTTTGGCGTTGGGCTTCAAGGGTGTTTTGCAAATCCTCAGAATTTTCTTTAGCTTCATTTCGGATACATGGAGCACTCTCTAATGGTCCTATTAAGCAGCAGATAATGAATGTTATCATATTAAAAATCTTCAGTAGAGGTTTGAACCTTCACTTGGCGCTCATTTATCTTCTCTGTCCGTGGCTGAACTCGGCTTCTCTGAAGAATATGGTACATGCACACGTACAATGATCTGAGATGACGGGAGCCGAGTTCTGCCCTCTCTCTACCAGTTGTGAAACATTCAATATATGATGATTATTTCTGACCTATGAAGGAACTAAATTTACTTTCTGGAGTTTTGCCAATAAAAGCATTTGCACTCCCGAGTCCATTATAAAGATCTCTCTCTCTTTCTCTTCAAGTCTCTGAAGATATACATTTTTTTTTTTTTTTTTGGCATCTGGTGATGCGGCCATTCATATTACAGATATATCTCCAGCAGAACTCAGTCTATAAGGGGTTCAGACTCAGAATCTTTTCTATTAGAGAGGGAAGAAAAGGCGAGAAGATTGGCCTGGCATTTCCAGACCGTCCATACTATTATTGCTGAGATACAATTATAGTCAGAGATTGCATTTGCCGTCCTTGTTTGGTGCTGACAGTATGACGCAGATCAGCTCAGATGTTCCATGCGTCCTAAGTACAGAAGTTGCAACGTAATGAAACAGCAATAAGTTGGTTTATGAATCATCGTCCACCAATAAATGATTAAAGCCTTATTTTCAGTCTTGCACAGTTGTGCCGGCTCCTCTTAAAACTTGAAATTTTTTCACTCCGATTTCACCGCACACTGTGAGCTTCAGACATAGCACGCCTCATTTCCTGGCTCAGGGATGTCAGGCATCATGTGATCTAGCAGGTGAATCGAATCCTGGACAGGGAGGGTGAACAGTGTGTGTGTGTGGGGGCAATTATAAGAACTGAGTCTGGTGTGTGTCTCTCCATGAAGAAGCTGAAACCTGTCAGGAGTAGTAGGAGGAGAAACTGGATTTCAGCTGCTGCAGGGAGAGACACATAATATGGGATTGGTTCTTAAAAGAGTCCCCCCACCACAATGATCACTCCTCTCCTTCACATATCCAATTCCTCTGCTGCCCGGGCCCTGTGGAGCATGGGTGAGGTTGCCATTGCAACCCCTGAAGCTCCGCCACTGGTGCACGCATATATTACCAACATGACTTTGGAGTGGGACGACCCGGAGGAAAACTCACGCAAGCATAGGGAGAGCATGCAAACCTATGCAGGTAGTGGCATGGTTGAGATTTGAACCAACGACCCAAGTACTGCTAGGGAGAATTGGTCATCATTGTGCTGCTCTACCACCTAGCCACTGTGCTGCCCAACCACTTAGCCCCTGTGCTGCTCAACCACTTATCCGCTGTGCTGCCCAACCATTTAGCTGCTGTGCTGTCCAACTACTTAGCCCCTGTGCTGCTCTACTACTTAGCCCCTGTGCTGCCCAACCACTTAGTCACTGTGCTGCCCAACCACTGAGGCACTGTACTGGCCAACCACTTAGCCAATGTACTGCCCAACTATTTAGCCACTGTGCTGCTCAACCACTTATCCACTGTGCTGCCCAACCATTTAGCCGCTGTGCTGTCCAACCACTTAGCCCCTGTGCAGCTCTACTACTTAGCCCCTGTGCTGCCCAACCACTTAGTCACTGTGCTGCCCAACCACTGAGGCACTGTACTGGCAAACCACTTAGCCAATGTACTGCCCAACTATTTAACCACTGTGCTGCTCAACCACTTATCCACTGTGCTGCCCAACCATTTAGCCGCTGTGCTGTCCAACCACTTAGCCCCATGTGCAGCTCTACTACTTAGCCCCTGTGCTGCCCAACCACTTAGTCACTGTGCTGCCCAACCACTGAGGCACTGTACTGGCCAACCACTTAGCCAATGTACTGCCCAACTATTTAGCCACTGTGCTGCTCAACCACTTAATCACTGTGCTGCCCAACCATTTAGCCGCTGTGCTGTCCAACCACTTAGCCCCTGTGCTGCTCTACTACTTAGCTCCTGTGCTGCCCAACCACTTAGTCACTGTGCTGCCCAACCACTTAGTCTCTGTGATGTCCATCCTCTTAGCCACTGTGCTGCCTTATCACTTAGTCACTATACTGCCCAACCTCTTAGCCACTGTGCTGCCCAACCATTTAACCATTGTACTGCTCTATAAGGTAATAATTAAAATGGGAAGGGTCTCAATATATATTAAATATAATTACCATGTTGATGAGGGGGGAAGTTAAACAATTTAACTTTAAATCCCAAATACAGGACATTTAAAAAATGATCCCTTGCAGTGGCATACATGTGTTGTTGAGTGCTCATCCATTCAAGAAAAAAAAAACGTCCTATGAAATCCCTTGACTCTTATGGGAATGTCGATCCCCCGTGTCCCCCGCACTGTGCTCAGTGGTTCCTACTGCTGCCTTCCACCATCACTCTGTTATGTCCTGTTGCCATATGGAGGTCGGTGGGAGGTGATTGTGGAGGTCATATGAGAATTAATAGTATATGAATAGAGTGTGACATTGGTAGGTACATTAGATTGTAAGCTCCTCAGGGGCAGGAACTGATAGAAATGGCTTCATTATCCCTGTAATGTACTTTGGCACAGTACATTAGTACTGTTGACTAAGCTCCAGGTACGGGGAACAAAAACTAGAACAGAGAGCTCTGCCAAACCATTAGTTTCCTTTTTTTTTTTTGGAAAGGATTTTGCTAGAGTAAAAATGTATAAAGACCCAAATCCCCGGATACAGGAAAAATATCTCTCAGTCTAAGTAGGTCTGTGTGCATTTCTTTAATGAGTAAAACATTTCAGGAAAGTGAAAATTGCATTTTGTCTAATGTGGGCTCAGACTTCTCACTCCTCTGTATAATTTAGATCATTAGCAGTGACCAGGCAAAGCATCTGAGATGGCTGTAGGAAGTACTGAACGCCGGGATAAAGTCTTGCCCATGGGGAGAAAATTCTTTGTTTGCTCTAATGTTTTCTGACATTTTTTGCTAGTCTAAGTGTCAAAGTTATTATTTTATTTTTCAGGGTGAAAAAGAAAAACTAAATGCCTATTTCATGCTGTCAGCCTGTCCTTTACTGTCAAGTACCAGCGTTAAGAGAACCTGTCCCTACTGGGCTACAGGAGTCTAAATATATAGCAGTGTGCAGAAGGTTAATTCAGGATTTTTAAAGTATGCGTATATATATATATACAGTGGGGATGGAAAGTTTGGGCACCCCAGCTAAAAATTTGTACTAATGTGCATAAAGAAGCCAAGGAAAGATGGAAAAATCTCCAAAAGGCATCAAATTACAGATTAGACATTCTTATAATATGTCAACAAAAGTTAGATTTTATTTCCATCATTTACACTTTCAAAATAACAGAAAACAAAAAAATGGCGTCTGCAAAAGTCTGGGCACCCTGCAGAGTTAGTATCTTGTACTGCCCCCTTTGGCAAGTATCACAGCTTGTAAACGCTTTTTGTAGCCAGCCAAGAGTCTTTCAATTCTTGTTTGAGGTATCTTTGCCCATTCTTCCTTACAAAAGTCTTCCAGTTCTTTGAGATTTCTGGGCTGTCTGTCACGCACGGCTCTTTTAAGGTCTATCCATAGATTTTCAATGATGTTGAGGTCAGGAGATTGTGAAGGCCGTGGCAAAACCTTCAGTTTACGCCTCTTGATGTAATCCCCCGTGGATTTCGAGGTGTGTTTTAGGATCATTATCCATTTGTAGAAGCCATCCTCTGGTATCAGCATTCAGTAGACTCTAGCAGCTGACTCCAGTCCTCCTCTGATCCTCCTCCAGACCCTGCATTTTCTGCTTCCCAGCTCCGCCCCCAGCTTTTTCCTGGCAGCACCACAAGATAAGGGGAGTGCACCATGATGTAAGGGATGGCGGAGGACTCATGACTTCTGATGTTGGGTGGGGGGGCTCTTGACTCCTGATGTAAGGGAGGTGGGGTGCTCTGGACATCTAGTCTTACAGATACAGCCTGCCTTTAAGGACAACCCTAATGCTGAAACGGAGTTTGACACCCCTGCTTTACATACAG